AGAGTCAAATTCTAAAGAATCAAATGTAACTTCATCAGAGGAAAAGCCTCGTTCTATGGAGGATGTTGACATTGATTTGACTTGCAAACGTCCCAGTGGTAGTCAATCGATGGATGTCCATTTAAATATCCGCTTGCCCAACGGTGTAAGTCTTCAACACAAGTTCTCTGTGACAAGCACTTTGAGAGTGGTCAAAGAGTACGTGGACGAAAATCAAGATGGTAACATTAACTCCTACAATTTGGCCATTCCATATCCTCGAAAGGTGTTTACTGATCAAGGTATGATTATGCAGATCTTTTCTGAACCCCTCTTTAATCAGATTGGCTAATTTATAAATCAATCACTTTATTTTTTGGCTAAGCAATTCTTTTAGCTTATCTGGAAGCATTATTTCTTACATTCTTGTGATGAAGGAACTATTTCTAGTCCGTTCACCTTTCCTTGATTTGGAATTTTTTGGCTTGCATGTTTTGGTTTGTCTATGTAGCGCGAATCTTGCTATGTCTTAGAAGCGGTAATCATAATGTAGCTGAGTCTGCACTATAATGTCACTCAAAAGTGTTACTTATGTCGGGGTTACCTTTCAAGTGAAGTACTTAATTGGGTAAGTTCAGTTTTTGTGGGAAACATATTTTTAGTTTTCTGTTTGGAGTGGCTTTTGCAGTAGTCAATAAGGATAGGGTGGCAGGAGCATGTTAAACGCTATAGATATGACTCAGCATGTGGCCTCAGAAAATATCAACGAAAAGCTATTATGGAATTTCCTCAACCCGAGGCCAAAACTGACTTGAGGGAATTGGGACTTGTATTACAGGGCCAGAAGGACAAGTCTACCTGAGTTTGATAATCTGAACATATTGCCAAGGCATGAGTTTGGTTCTGGCTAGAAAGATAGGTAACAACCTGAGCAGGAGACAGACTTTGAGAAACAACTTTACTTGAGAACTGTAGCAATTAGGAAAGAAAGGGTAGTTGAATTATCACTTCAGTCTGGCCAGGCTGTTTTGATTTCTCATGTGTGGGGTGATAAGAAGGGTAGTTGAATTTTTAGCTCAGTCTGGGCAGGCTGTACTGGTTTCTTGTTTGTGGGGTAATCTACTCACCCAGTGGTATGTTGATGAACAATGTTAAATTTAAGAACATGGCCGTCCTAGTGCTGTTGTGTACATAACAGCTAGGATGTTACTCCCTGGAAACGGTTGGTAGCAAGATGATCGTAGCGCTATATCCTGAGATCAAGGGAAGGATCTGTTGTTTCTGGAACACTTGAGGGCATCTTGACATACTTGATATAGTAGGATCATAGAACCTGACATTGGGGATAGGTAATTACTCAGAGAAATCTGACATATCTATGTTGAACATGACATTGTTAGATCTGCTTCTCAAATTGTTTAGTTGCTCAACTTATGGGACAAGATTTGTCATTTTACCCCCTAGTCAGGTAAGTAGCATTGAAAAGGATGTGCTAATTTTCATTGTCACAATATTTCTGTAGACATTATCAAATATGCAAGTATTGTTATTTAAGATGGAGAGCTCAAAAGTTTGATGGTACAATAATTGGTATGATCACATTTTTTTTTGGATATCATAAAGTGGTAACTCCTGTGAAATATTAGATCGGATTCAAATTTAATAGAAGTGTCTCCATTCCCTGTGCCTTCCTGCAATGCCGTCTCTTATGCATGTCAATAGTCCAAAAGTTTTAGCGTTATCATGTCCTGGTTGGTTTGTCTGCCAATTTTTTAGGCAGTAATTTCGTTTCATTCAAGTGGATTTTTATTTTTCCTTATAGCGTTGTGCTTGCCATAAGATGTCATTCTCCTCCAGCTAAAATGCTGTTTATAAGTTCACATTGCAGCTTTTATGTTGTTGATGTAGATTTGGACAGATCTTTACTGGAGCTGGAACTGGTTGGTAGACAAGCATTGATGGTGGTTCCACTAGAAAGAGGCACAAATCATAATAGAGGAGGAGGTTCCCTGTCCCAGCACCAACCAAGTTCAACTGATGATTCTTCTGATGGTAATAATGGAGGATACTTTGGAATTGTGAGAAGGATCTTGTCCTACATGAATCCACTTTCTTATCTTGGAGGCACATTCCGCTCATCAGGTTCGAGACGGGATTAAATAGCTCATGGCAGTACCCTTAGTCTCTATAATTTTGATAAATTGATCTTATTGTGTTGACTTGGTTTGGATTTGATAGTATGTTCCTAGTTTCCATTGCCCTGGCATAAGCATCAAATTTAGGCATTGGCGTGGTCTAGCACATTCAAGATTCTTCTAATTTTTTTGGTAAAAAACCAAAGTTCATTCAAAATTACTGGAAGCATTGTCCACGAGTACATCAATGCCATGAGGAGGCGTCATACAAAAATCAGAATCTGACAAAACAGCATTGTTGCTTACCAGATAGTTATTCGATAGATTACACTTGAAGCTTCTGTTTATGAGTAAATTATGGATATGGTTTTTGGATATTGATGTGCAGTTTCTTATGCAGTCAATTTTATTTGTAGCTTTCTTGTTATCGGTTGGTGGAATTAAATTAGCATAGGAAAAGTTTTAAAGTGATGAATGAAGTTCATTGAACTTTCATGGTCCATACCTTTTAGACTGACGCGCGCCTCTTCTTTAGTTCACTGCATGGATGTGATTGCTGCTTATGTTGAGTGAGTCATGCACATAGATTTTACTTGCTGGAGCATAGTATTATCTATGAATGCCAATTGCTATGGTAATGACTGGTGCCATGCCTGGCAAGTTTTGCGCATTACGTTGTCCTTTTGGAGCAGAAATTTTGCTTCAGTGCAGCTTCTGTCATTGCTTTCAAAGGCTAGATTTTGCTTATATAGCTTGATTGATCTGGAAAAGAACTGTATTGACTCGTTATATATTGACATTGATGTTTCCAGATCCTAATCCTCCTCAAAATAACTTGGCAAGAACAGAACGACCGAATCTCCGTGACTCGACAAATCAGAACACTTCTGTGGGAAGCAGAACTGAGGACGGGAGCAGGAGACCAACATCATCCCCTTTCAGTAGCAACATACATACTCTGAAGCGTGACGAGGATGATAATCGTTTCAGCGGTAGAAATTCTTTCTGGAATGGGAATTCTACGCAGTATGGCGGCAATGGTGATGAAAGATAGGATGCGATTATATGAATATGTTTATGTTTTTGTTTTCCTCTTTTTCCTTTTTCAGGCCAGTGTTTTAATGGTACATAGAGATGTGACATAATGAAGTCGGGATGGATGCTTGATCGTGATGTTCAGATCTTGCTATAGTGAAATTGCAATATATTATCCAAAATTTGTGAAGGTGGTTGGTGCTTTATGTTTCGCATTCTGCAATGAACTGGGTTTCGAGATTGCGTGGCAGGGAAAAGGTGGTGATGCTCGAGGGGAGAACATGGCCAAAATCTGGGTAGCAAGGATATAGGTGGCAGTTGGGTGCCGGGTTGTAAATTGGTTGATCTAATCTTATATGTCAGACTTAAACTGCGATTGATTCAGCTTTTCCCGAATGTTCAAAATAAACGCAGAGTGTTTGGTAAACACGGGGTAGGGTTTTGCGTTTTGAGTCTTGCAGCCGGCCATCCCATCTTCTCGGCCTTGCACCCAGGATCAAGGGTCTACACAGATTCTTCATCTTTCTGCCATCTTCTTCGCCTTGTGCACAGATTCAAGGGTCCATACACAGATTCCTTCTTTCCCTCTGCTCTGCTTTGATCTGAGCTCTGAGTTTGTTTACTCTCTGAAATATACCCGTATTCAAATCTAATTAGGAGCACATAAATTTCTTTGCGGTCTCATTTGCTCTCAATAAGAGTGTGTGTGTGTGTGCGTGTGTGTATATGTATGTATGCTTGTGAACTGGACTTTTGAATCTTTTTTGTGATTTGTATAGGGTCTTTCGAGATCGTCGCAAACGTAAATAACACAAAATGAAATGAGTTACAGTTCTATTCCTCTGTTTCTACTTGTTCTGGTGTTCGTCCCCTTGAATTGCCCACTCATGGGGTTGGTTCTCCTCGTCCATGACGGTGGCTCCCTCTGAAGGTGATTCTTTTCCAGTGAAGATAGACAATTTCAACGGTTTTGTCGCCGAGTTCTCCATGGAAGCGCTCAACAACCCCGGGGGGGACCAAATTAGTCGAGAATGCTAGAAGGAAAGCCGGTCACCACCGCCGTCGATGAGGACGACAAGCCTCGAGTCTCGCACGAGCCCAGGAGAGGGCTCCGGGTTTGGCGATCAGGCAACCAGAAGCCTTATCTGCAAACGGGTGCCACAAGCGAAGGGAAGACTAGGTAGAAAAGAGTAGGTCTAAAAAATTTTCACCAAATACACCGGCTTTCACTCCTGAGAAAGCTAAAACAAACACGGTCTTTTATACTCCTTTAGACCCACCCGTTTAGTTGGTATTGACCTGTATCGATACGTTTAATCCTTCGTAGCAATTTGGTTGGGTCGTTCGGGCATTTAGAAGCAGGAGTGAAGATGAGTCAGATTATACTATACGACGTAGGAAGGACCAAACATTAGGTTCCTCCATAATAATATCCTTGTACAGTAGGTCGGATATCTGCACTGTATGCATCTTGCTTTCACATTACTTAAGAAATGTTAAAGTTCACATCGTGCATAGTTTTTCTCCGCCTTTCTCGATGGAATATTCTCTTTCGAAATTTCGTCTTTCAAAGGCTTCCCGCGAAGTAAAAAAAAAGGGTAACGGAAAAGTGATTTAGTAATTTGATTGTTTCGAGCGATTTCGTAGATACTAGCAAAATAGTTAAGCGAAATCGAAAAATTAAAAAAAAGTTGATGATATTGATGATTAAAATCAAGCTACTTGATTAAACAAAAGTCAAACTTGGATACGAAGGCCACGTCGGCCTCTAACAGTAGAGGTGGGCGGGCGGGCAAAAAAAACCCTTCTTCTTCTTCTTCTTCTTCCTTCTTCCTCCTTCTTCTTCTTCACTACTGTCAGTCTCTCTTCCTAGTCTTCTTCTTCTCCTGCACATCTTCCTCCAAAAATGGCCATGGCCTCCACTTTCATCAACCCTAATTTCTCCTCCATCTCCTGTTCCTCCTCCTCCTCCTCCTCCTCCTCCTTCGCTCCCAAGCTCCGCCCCGTTTCCTCCTCCTCCTCCTCCTCCTCCTCCCGCCGCACCCCGAAGCCTCCCGCCTTCCGCCGCATCTCCTCCCGATCTCCCCCCAAACACGCCTCCTCCTCCTCCTCCTCCGCCGTCACATGCTCCGCCCCTCCCCCTCCCCCTCCCACTCCCGCTCCCTCCCGCCGGCCCCCCTACATCCCCAACCGCATCCCCGACCCCAACTACGTCCGCATCTTCGACACCACCCTCCGCGACGGCGAGCAGTCCCCCGGCGCCACCATGACCTCCAAGGAGAAGCTCGACATCGCCCGCCAGCTCGCCAAGCTCGGCGTAGACGTCATCGAGGCTGGCTTCCCCGCCGCCTCCGAGGACGACTTCGCGGCCGTCAAGGCCATCGCCCTCGAGGTGGGCAACGCGGTGGACGCCTCCGGCTACGTGCCCGTCATCTGCGGGCTCTCCAGGTGCAACGAGAAGGACATCAGGTCCGCCTGGGAGGCCGTCCGGTTCGCCAAGCGGCCGAGGGTGCACACGTTCATCGCCACCAGCGGGATCCACATGGAGTATAAACTGAAGAAGAGCAAGGAAGAGGTGATCGACATTGCCCGGAGGATGGTGGGGTTCGCCCGGAGCTTAGGGTGCGATGATGTCGAGTTCAGCCCTGAGGATGCTGGCAGGTTGTCGCGAAGTTCCTGTCTTTGCACGTCCTGCATGTCCTTTATGATGTCATTTGGTTCCTGGTAGCAGTCGTGTTTGATAATCATCTGATTTGTCATTGTCTAGTTAGTTCCCGGACAATTTGTAGGCCACGGATAGTGGTGTAGTTGGGGAGGTCATTTCCTGCTTCTTGGTGTTATGGATGGTTTCTTGCATTCGTGAATGGGTATAGATAAGTGACTTTTTCTACTCCATCTAGAACACAATGACATGCTTTCTGGTTCGACGGATGCGCATATCTATTGAATTTGCAATTGTGACTTACTATAGTAAAGATTTTTCTTTGTTCAGATTCCTTCACCGATCTTATAAGAATCATTTGTTTTGCTCCCTCTTGTGCTCGTTTTATACATTTCCCCGGGGATATTTGTAGCTGCATTTCAGTATTTACTACTGTTGGTGTCACTAGCTTTTAGTGACAGAATTACTGCTGCTTGCACCTCGTCTGGTTGATAAGTATGATTTTCTAATGGGTCGTATGAAGCTTCAGAATGTTACAAAATCCTATTTGTTCTTTAATTTTGACTTTTTTAACCTTGATTTCTAACTAGATCGGATAGAGAGTTTCTCTATGAAATTCTGGGTGAAGTTATCAAGGCAGGTGCCACAACTCTCAACATTCCCGACACTGTGGGTATTACTATGCCTGAAGAGTTTGGTAAACTGATAGCTGACATAAAAGCGAATACACCTGGAATAGAAAATGTTATCATTTCCACACACTGCCAAAACGATCTTGGTCTTTCAACAGCCAACACCATAGCGGTATGTGGATATTTTTCCTCCCTAATATCAAGTTTATGAAAAACTCTTAGTGAGCATGAACTTATATCTAAGGACTTCTGAATTCAGGGCGCATGTGCTGGGGCAAGACAAGTGGAAGTAACAATTAATGGCATTGGTGAAAGAGCTGGAAATGCTTCTTTGGAAGAGGTGACTGTCAGCTCTGGCATGTATATAAGTCATGGATATTTGATTTTCCGTGAGTGATTGTGTATAGGAGGGAAATGGATCTGTAGGAAGGGAGGATGGTCGTAATCAAGAGAATTTTCTTTGGATTGATGCTTCTAATGCAAATGACACCATGAACAAATCTATTTTTGTTATCAACCCGAAGTTATGTGATATAATCAATTATTAATAAGGATTGTAATAATGTTTCCAGTTATTTTATGACATTTCATATATAGATGGACTAACGAGCACTTTTTAGTTTTTGGCATCGATGAAATTATCATAAGTTCTGCTGTTTGATAAGTGAGAGAGAGAGAGAGAGAGAGAGAGAGAGAGAGAGAGAGAGAAGAAGAAGAAGCTGGGTATAGTGTCAGTACATTTGAAGTGTACTGGCAAGGATACCTAGAAACAAAAGGGAAAAAAACGGAAAGATTTGCAAACATGTGTGCTGTTAATTCAATTTTGCTTGTTCCTTTCTCTTACTTAAGTTTTTGCAGTTCTGAATGGTTCATGTCCTTTCAACTATACTTTTCTCTTAGCCTGCATTTTTCACTATTGAATGGGAACCGAATGATGCTGGAATATGTAAAGTTTTTACTCGTTTTGCTGCATTGCAGCAAGTAATGATCAATTCTTAGACTGTAAGATGAGAAAAGCATGTTTGATGTGATCTGGATACATAGAAGCAACGTTCAGAAGCTCTAGCAAGAGACAGAGCTCAGTGATGGGATTTAGGGTAAGCCATATGGACGGCCCTAACCTACAAAGCTGTGGTTAGATCTCTAGAAATAAGATTTGAGTATGTGTATCATAGTGAGGACCCATACAGGCTAGAGAGAAACAGAATAGTAAGTCCTTTGCATGTCATTGGTGCTTGTACTTATGATTATTTAGTTTCAATGTCTTCCTGTTTGTTTCCTTTTGCTGTTTGGTTGAAAATTGTTTGGATTCCTTTTCTGTTCTTGTTTTTCTAATCTTCCTTACCTTTTGTCTTTCCTTATAAAAAATTTATAGGTGGTAATGGCCTTAAAATGCAAAGGGGAGCACGTATTGGGAGGTCTTTACACAGGAATCAATACTCGTCATATTGTCATGACTAGCAAAATGGTATATAATTTTGACTTCATACATTTCTTACCTTAATCAACTGTACTTTAATATCTGTTCAACTATTTTTTAGGTAGAAGAGTACTCAGGCTTGCATGTACAACCTCATAAAGCTATTGTTGGAGCTAATGCCTTTGCTCATGAAAGCGGCATCCATCAGGTCAGTGGCTATGAACTTTGAGTTTGTGGCTTCTTCTCACCTATTTGCTTCCTTTTCTTGAATAATTTCTTTAGTAATTTCTCTAGCATTTCATTTTAGATGCCTAACTGTTGATGCTCCATTTCTTTGGTGGGATAAATCTCCTTATTGGTTTCTCATTATATGGCATGAAAAATTTTATCATCATTTTAATTGTGGTCCCTGTTGAAACTCAGGAGCTTAAACTGATATCTTATGGTCTTCTAACATCACCCAGTCAACTTTTCTTTCATTTAATTGCCTAGTTTACTGCTGGATGCGGAGTTTAAATATATGATATTTTTACCTCCAAGACATTGATTCTAGAAGCAGTAAATACTATTCTTCTGGTGTTTGATCTCTGTTCCAGATGACGTTTTCTTTAGCAAATAAACTTGAAGGAGTTGATTTAAGCTTTGGTAGCATTTTTAGGAGATCTATCCTAGGTTTTGTAGAGACTGACGTTTGGTGGTTGTTGATGTGGTTATGAATGGTGGATATGCTTGGAGGCGCACTACACGATCTAAACATGGATAATAGATAAAAGAGGATTAGTCAATCTAGGAAGGAATAGAACAAGAATACCACAGCCATGAGGCTGTAAATGTTTCAATCAGAAATAGATGGTCTGTAGATTGACCCAAGCGTTTGCATAATGAACACTACTTTTAAAGAAATTAATTGGGCCATGGTAAGAATCTTAGAAACTGTAACCTCTTTCGATCTTTCAAGAACCAAACAGGTCTTCAGTTTTCTTCTTATTCCTATTTGAAAACATTGAGAATACCATTTTTTTGTCTCCTAATTTGAAGAGGACTCTCTTCAATTTTCAGAGAACTTTAAAGCAAGGAAGATCGCCAAATGTGTCCATTTTCTTGGTCGCTGCTGAAAATATAAGTATATAACTTAAATATCTCAAGTAATCAAACCAATTTCTTGGGATTTTAGTTCATAATTTGATTTCTCATTCTAATTGACAACTAAATATATTTGAGAAAAAAATCGATGACAACTATGATATTGCCTCTAACAGTGTTGTCTTTCTATAGGACGGAATGCTGAAACACAAAGGTACATATGAAATTATATCTCCTGACGATATTGGACTTGAGCGATCCAATGAGGCAGGCATTGTCCTTGGAAAATTGAGGTGAGGTCTTTTTGTGGTGATTGTGTCAATTCCTTTGTAAAGGTTCCAGTATGCTTTAACTTATCAAATGTAAATACATAGCATAGAATATGTCAATGTATTGCTTACTAGAAAGTGTTACGCTAATCTACCCCCAAATTAGCTCCATACAAACCCTAAAAACTTAGGTGACAAAAGTAGCCTTGGGAGTCCTGCGTCCATTTCTGTCGCTTAGCCTGCTCAGACTAGCCTCTCAGCCACATGCTGCCACCATTGCTGGCCTTTGCCCACCGCTGCTGTCATACTTCACTTGTCACTTACCTCCGCCACTACTGACGTCTTCACTGTCAAATCTGATCTCTCTCTCTCTCTCTCTCTCTCTCTCTCTCTCTCTCTTGTGTGTGCCTCTGCCCTCGACCACCAACCCTTGCTGCTTCAAGCTTTAAGCGCATTCCGCCATGATCACTCGGATCGAGGCTGTTTGAGGTGGTCAACCTTAGATTGACCTGGGACTGAGGTTGTGAGGTCTTGGCAAACCGAGCACAGGGAGGTGCGGGCAGAGAGAGGGAGAGATGGAGGACAGTGAGAGATCGGGCATCAATTGCAATCAACAAATTGAAATCAATGGAAACCCCAACAACGGCAACTCTAGCGACTCGTAGCTTGGTCTGGCAGCAATGGTGTTGGTCTGGCCGAGTTGGCCAGCGAAGCAGTGGCTCTGGATTTGCACATGTGCTGGTGTGGTGCAGCTTTGGTGTCTGGGAAGATGAGGAATTTGGTTGAGAATTTGAGTGTTGGTGATGGATGATAGCGAAAGAAACTCGTTGGGAAAGTGATGATGATTGTGATGAGGGGGTCTGTGTCCGTTGGTATTGTGATAAATGTAATTTGTTTGTGTGGAAAGTGGACTTGCAGATGATCTGGGTTTGCAAAAGATAGTTCTTGAAGGGGACTGTATAGTTTTCTCATGGATCTGAGATGAACAAAACAGATTAGATAAAAATCGATGACCTCCTGCACATAGATCTCCTTGAAATGGTTTAAGTGTGCTGTAAAACCTTGCAGGCACCAATCTGGCCATCATTAGTTCAAACTCTAGTCCGAATAGAAGAAATGGTAGAAAGCATATGCCAGAAGCCATAACCAACAGATATATATGGCACGCTTATACCCAAAAAGAAATTGATGAACAGGGGAGAAGCTAGAGGACAAAGGAAGTAGATGAACGATATCAAAGTGTGGGTACTTTTGCAAATTTCACTTTATTAGGGTGTGGATGGAGCCGGTAGAGGGGTGGAATTAGCATGGCTCTATCAAAAGTGGATGGTAAATGGCAACATTTTCTGAAATTAGCAGCCCCTTGCGATATTGTACTTGATAAAGTTAATGCTTCAGGGAAGATCACAAAACTAGAAAAGATCAAATTTCATCTTATATAGCAATACTAGTGAGGGCATTCTATTTAGTGAATTATCAGTGAATAACTTTGATCAAGGGTGTTAATTGATAATTGATATTTCTAATCTGTCACTTATTTTGTGAATTATCAGTGAATGAATTGGATAAAGGGTGTTAATTGATAAGTATGTTTCATGAATTGGTGGGAAAATGTGTCGTTGACATGTAGTTTGTCAATGTGTAGCTGTTATTTTCCCCTCACAGAATCATGTCACTTTCTTTGTGTATTGGGGTTGTTTGAAGTTTGGAAGTTTGCTCTTACATATTCAAGTGTCTTAAATTTATTCTCTTTTCTCGTCAAATCTATCTGATACAGTGGGCGCCATGCTTTGAAAATGAAACTTGTAGAGGTAAGCAGCATTTTTTTCCGTACTTCATGTTTGCCCAAGTTGTGAGTTTCCTTATTATGATCATTTTCTCATGTTCTATCTGCCCTCTTCAGCTTGGTTATGATATTGATGGTGATCAACTGGACAATATCTTCTGGCGGTTTAAGGCAGTAGCTGAGCAGAAAAAGGTGGGTAAGAGTGCTGTTGCTGTATGTTTGACCTTCTGATTTTACTAGATTAGAATAGTTCCATAATTTGACTATTTGATAATTGGTTACTTGCATTTATATTAATTATTCTTATTCATGGTGTCACTCTTTGTGTACACCTGCACACACACATGTTCAAACTTTGTTTGGAATAATACAAAACAGAATGGTCATAGAAAGGATGATTGCAACCTTTTTCCTCTGGGTAAGAGGGTTGAGAGGAAAGTGGGCAGCACTGCTGCATATCCCTTCCATCACTGCAAGAGTTTAATTAAAAACGTTTTCCGATTATCTTGTTTGTATAATCTTTTTTGTGGATGTAGTTCCTTGTGAATCCATGAGGTGGTCAGAGCAAAATGCTTCATGTTTAGTTCACTGGATGGTTGGTTCAGGTCTGCTGAGTTAATCTAATGTTTCTGCAATGTGAACCATTTTGTACTCCTTTTGTCTCAGCATCCATGCACATAGACTCAATACACACATCATTGGTAACATGAATACTAAGTCAAAAAGAATTTAGAGACCGTCCCCCACCTTTTACAAATGGCGGAACTCTTGAATCTGTGGAGACGATTAAGCAGCAATTGAACAGTTGACATTGACAATAAAGTTCTAATACATAGAGTTAGACTTGAATGGGCAACATCAACAAGAGAATCAAATGCCCATCTGGCATTCCATACTATGCCTCTGTCTTAGATGTTAAGTAGTTAACAACTAGTCGCAGACATTTTATAATTGTGGCTGAACATATGTCGAGCCGTAAGACTCATAAGTTGCAAAAATGATGCAAAGTTTTCATATGGAAAGACAATAATAAGTTCCTTTTATCCTCTTTGTGAGTTGCGGCTTTGTATGCTTGCTTCTTTTGGCTCTTGGGAAGGCGTCATATATGACCTGCTTTCTTTGTGCGCTATGTGCCAGAGAGTTACTGATGCTGACATAAGAGCCCTGGTATCAGATGAAGTTTTCCAACCAGCGGTTGTATGGAAGCTTCTTGATTTACAGGTATATCTGCCTAGTTTTTCCAGCTTTTACCATGGTGATTCCAATTCCAATCCATCTAGTGAGAAAATCATAGCAAATGTCATGCAGGTTACATGTGGAACTCTTGGTCTTTCGACGGCAACTGTAAAACTTATCAGTGCTGATGGGAAAGAGCATATTGCTTGCTCTGTCGGTACTGGACCTGTGGATTCGGCATACAAGGCTGTTGATCTAATTGTTAAGGTTTGAAATTTCGATTTTGTCCTAATACACTCATATTTTATTAAGAAGTCGGTTAAAAAATACCTCTACCAAATATTATTTACTTTTGTAGTATCATTGTCCGAGAAGTAGGATATTCGTAGTGTTACTTTAATAAGGAATGAAAAGGGAGAACACATTTGAATTTTGTCATTGTAATCAGGTATAGGAAGCTGCTTCCTGTGACCACCAAAAAAATATTGTTCATCTAGGTACTTTCAAATATGGGGTATAGTATAATCATTAGTTTATAATCAAATTAACATTGCAAAAAATTACAAGTACCAAATAAAGTTGACAAAATTAGAATTCATTTTCTCGAGAGTTGACTTTCAGAACTGACAGATGCGCTCCTGCGTTACGCTGAAGATTCTCACTTTGTAAAAACGTTGGGGAGTCCTTTGAAGCAATCATCATATTATTTATGCAGGTACCTGCAGCGCTTCTCGAGTACTCCATGACCGCCGTCACAGAGGGCATTGACGCAATAGCCACAACCCGAGTTTTGATCCGTGGCGAAAACAATCACACATCTACACATGCTTTAACTGGGGAGACTGTACACAGAACCTTCAGGTACAGAAGTGTTTAATATGTTTACAATCCATGTTATTTTACTTAGCACAAACTTCAAGTTATTGCATTTATTGTTTGAATGCCAGTGGTGCCGGGTCGAGCATGGATATTGCTGTTTCAAGTGTGAAGGCCTATATTGGTGCATTAAACAAGATGTTGGGTTTCATGGAGCAGACTCCATCAGATGTTCCTGCAGAGAGAACCCCAGTGTCCGTGTAAACATGCCTGACGACTAGTAGTTGCATCTCCCATATACGTGGTGACAGCATGATGAGTCCTCGAGTCTTGTCCATACACTCCTGGCCAAATGTCTTAAAGAAATCTATTAATCAATGGGGAGACATTTTCAACCACTTCGTTCCCCAAAAGCAGTGAAGAAAAACCATTCCTATGTTGGTGAGTTAGCCTCAACTTCCTGAGCATATGTTTGAGGGGCGTTTTAGCTGTGTAATATAGACTAGACATAAGTTGGTGTGTCCAATTAGTGAGCTGTTTAGATGTGCCAATACATCTTTGTTTCCTTGTTTCCCTATTCTGAAGGATTGGAATTTTAACTCGATTTCAAGCTCTCCTAAGTTAGCTGCAATTTTCGACGAGTAGTGTCGTGCGTATGAGAGAACTTATTCATCTTTATTAGATGTGCAATTCTAAAATGACACTCTTAACGTCGGCCAGCTTCGATTTGTTCTCCCTCCACCATTTTGAAACTCCAAAGCTTTGTTCAACCATCATATAGCGGGAGGTGGGACACAGATCAGGTCAGCTGAGTTTTTGGCAATGAAGATAAAGCATTTGCCTATGATTTCTACCCTCATTTCTTCAGCATATTATTCTCCTCTGTGCGAGTCTTTGAGGTGCGGTTAAAAAACATCTTCGAAGATACCGTGCTCGTCTATGTCTAGTTGAGCCAGAGACGGACCTAAGGGGCCCTGCTGGGTGCCGTTTAGTGCAACTTTTATGAATTCTTCATTGTATTTTTATGACAATTTTTAGTAAAATTTCTTGACCCCGTGCCCCCATGCCAAGATTTCATAAGAATTTTACGTAGCTGCAAGTGACTCTGGCTTGAATCCATGGCAATTCTTGGCTTTTGATATCTGGCTGACGATCAAAAAAAGAGTTGTCGTTTGGAACCAGATTGATAATGCTTTCGTGCAAGAAAAGAAGCCTTTTGAAATGAATGGTATTGACATTGGTACATGATATTCAGTGGGTTTAGAGTTGATGTAGCCTTTGGGTAGGGTATGCTTTCGACCTGCACATTGCGGTTCATTAATGACTTTGCGACTTTGAACCTACCTACCTTTTGAAACTGAAAGCATAGAGATGTTGACTGTCGCCTCTCTTCTTTTGACAGTCGAAGTTCAATAGAAAAAGAGAAGATACGCATTGGCGAGAAAATATTCAGTGGTACTGATGTAGTGTGTATTTATGTACTCATGTCCAATTATAAATTGACAGATGGATATTAACGTGGAACCAAAAAAAAATTGATTTTCTCTCTCTTCCTCCTTAATCCACAAAGCACCTCCCATTCGATCATCCAAGACAGCATCACCGGCCGCTGGTTGGCGTCACTGGCCGGTCGGTTAGGCCATGCTGTGTTCAGATTGCCGACATCGTTTTTCTATTTTTCTTTTTCCTAGCGTCGTTACATTTGTTTTTCTTTTTCAGTTCGAAATCGAAGCCCGTGATCTTCGCAATCTCGAGCTCGCCATCAAAGCTGGGGACTATGGACGAGCTACACGGCCAATCAGATCTGGTCCGAAACTATGCCGACGATGGCCATGGACAAGCAAGGATCACTCGCGAGTCTTGCTCGCCCATGGCCAGGGAAAGGGAAAACCGAGGCGAGGCGAGCCTTGCCCGCCCATGGTCGGCGATGCCGTTGTCCATGGCGGGCTGGCCCATGGCCAGGGAAAGGGAAAACCGAGGCGAGGAGGCTCATCCAAGGTACCCGCCGGTGGAAAGAAGAAGAAATATTTATTTAATTCCGCGTCGGCAAACACGATTCGCAATCACTAAATATTTCCTAGTAATAGACCGATTCAATTTTTGGAGTAACAAATTTTACGGCCAATGTCAATTGCTGCACATATCCTACATGCTGTGTAGTGCAGTATATACCATAAATATGTATAATGCCACAATCTAATTCAGTAACTTCCAAAGAAAATTCATAATTTTTGCAGATAGTTTTCCCCAAATAAATAGGAATTCCCAACATGCTCTATAAACAATGAATGAACGATCGTTTCAGTTCGAGTTAACAGAGAGAGAAAGAGAGAGAGAGAGAGAAGCAAAAGGCTGAAGCGCCAATCTCCTCCTCCTCTCCTTCTTCATTCTCCTTATCTGTCACACTTCCGCTCCAATCTCCTTTATCAGAGACAGCGCTCTCTCTCTCTCTCTCGCTCTCGCTCTCGCTCGCTCGCTCGCTCGCTCGCACCAGACAGAGGATTACAGAGCGATCACAGGTAGATTCATTCAATCCCTCCACACCAAAATTGGTTTATATGTCTCTCTCTCTCTCTCTCTCTTCTGAATCGCTTGCATTTCGCCCTAATTTTGATCTCCTCCTCCTCCTTCGCCTTCTTCGCCATCCCCCCAACCCCATTTTCCATCCCTCTTCCGTTTGATTCGCTCATCGCATCGCGTCTGATCGTGTGTGTTCTTTCCATGGAACGCGAACTCCATCGCCGGGGTTTAGTCGTGAGTCCCCTCCTTCTCGTCGTGTTCCCCGTCCTGTTATTTCCAATTCCCGGTGCTTCCATCGGTTCCCGCGTGGTGTGCCTTGTCTTGTTCCCTGGACCCACCAAAATTATGCTTCTCCCGAAGCTCTACGTTGATTTGTTATGTTGGCCGGTCTTGTCTTGAGGCATTCTTGAATTTCGGGGCGATTGAGCTCCGTCCGTGTTTGAAAATTCTGTCTTGCTGCTTGGCTTATGAATCTGTCCGAAGGGCCTCTTGTTCCTAATTCTTTTGCATCCGAACTTGGTTTTGGGGGGAAAGTTATCTGGGTGTATGTGTGGAGAGGACGGGGGATGTCGAATCTGTCCTGAATCCCTGATGGTGGAGAGGGGGAATTTTGCGTCCTTGATCATTAGAACTCCAAGTTTTGTCCTTGATCAGATGGTATCTGAAAGAGGATGACTTCACTGGGTTTGTCTTTTCAATCCAGCGTATTTCCCATCTTTTGCTTGGTACGATGAAGAATTTGTCTATCTTGCAGGCACATGCGCCTCCTCCGGGTTACTTTGTTCGCTTGGAATATCGGAGAACTCACGACAGCCTTCTCTTGAAGAAGAGTTCTAGCAAGAAAATGCGGCGGTGGCTCTGTTGTACTTGTCAAGTCGAAGAATCTTACCACACAAACGATGACGAGGTGCTGAAAAGCCCAAGGAACCATGTACAAGGTATGTTTCTCATCATATTTTGTTAACAATTTACCCTTTGTTGATGATAATGAAAGAGTGGCTACTCTTAAAGCTGATGGGAAAAATAAAAATATTATGTACTGATCCGTAGGTTTCTTGACTCATCAACTTCATAAAGGTATAATACTGTCTTAGGTCACCGTTCAAATTTTGAGTAAGTTACAGTCACCGTATAGGCATCTTGATTAAAAGAACCTGCATCTTATACATCTACAAATTGAGTACTTTTGGTCGCAATTATCGAAATATCTAGCATGTGAACCTAAATGATTTTGTGCATCGGGCATGTGCACATTCGTCTTGTTCCTGCTAGTGTTTATTTTGGCCTACTTCACAGGGTTCTGTGGAAATCTTTTTATTTGTAGTATCTGGAATTTATTTTTGTCTTTGATTTTAGAAGAGTAAGTTCTCGGCAATCTGGGAAGTATTAAGCAGAAAGACGTCATACTTTTTAGCGATAGAATTGAATAAATCAAGCCCAACGACTTCTGTATATTTATCTCCAACTGGCTGTAGTTGCTAAAGATCCAATGGAAGCTAATGGATATCTGGAGTGTCGGACCTCTTACTTTGTTGGTTCCTTGGTATTGTAGACTGTAGTCATGCCACTAGTCCCAGAAAATAATTATTCATCAACTAGTAGAACAATTGAAGTAGTCGATACATTATTTCAATCTGAATGAAGATCATTGCGTTGGAAGTTTATGATTCTTCGTCTTCACATATTCTGGCAAGTAGTCTTTTCAAAGGCAGTAGAGCGAATCCTTTCTGTCATTTTGTTCTCCTAATCTTTGTTTGTCCCAAATTTGGCGTAGGGCACCAAAAAAGTTCGAAGTTGTCTGCTCCTGTTAAACCTGAAGTGCAAAAGGCACCACCACCTATCGAGGTTCCTGCTCTGTCAGTGGATGAACTTAAAGAAAAGACTGATAATTTTGGATCAAAGTCATTGATTGGTGAAGGATCTTATGGAAGAGTATATTATGCTAACTTAGATAGTGGAAAAGCTGTGGCTGTCAAAAAGCTTGACACTTCATCTGATTCTGAGTCAAATGTTGAGTTTCTGACCCAGGTATGTGCAGAATTTGAATTCTGGTTGACACCATTGCAGAAAATGAATAACTGTGTTAATCTGTTATGCCATTCAGTTTATTTAATTACGACAGGAGATCCTTGATTGTCATGGATTTATGCATTCAGGTTTCCGTGGTATCAAGGTTGAAGCATGAAAATCTTGTTGAGTTGCTTGGTTACTGTGTTGAAGGGATTCTTCGTGTGCTTGCATATGAATTTGCAACCATGGGATCACTACATGATGTACTACATGGTAACTGAAGCCTACTTGTCTTTCGTGGCTTAACTCTCTTGGAATGTTTTATCCTGTAGAGATAAAGTATTCTAAATGAAGGGATTATCACTTTACAGGAAGAAAAGGAGTTCAAGGTGCACAACCAGGCCCTGTCCTCGACTGGATCCAGCGAGTGAGAATTGCTGTTGATGCAGCGAGGGGATTGGAATATTTGCATGAGAAGGTTCAGCCTTCTGTAATCCACAGGGATATTAGGTCTAGCAATGTGCTTCTTTTTGAAGACTTCAAAGCCAAAATTGCAGATTTTAATCTGTCAAATCAGGCACCTGACATGGCTGCCCGTCTTCATTCTACCAGAGTTTTGGGAACCTTCGGCTATCACGCTCCAGAGTAATGCATCTGGATCTCTCTTTTCAATTGTATGGAGACTATTGATAAGTATATTGTTTTGCCGTTACTGTCTATCCTGTTGGATGCTGAAAAATTGTGTGAAAATTTAGAAAATACGATATGACAACTCTCACTTTTTATTTGGGTTCATAAGCAGCAATTTTGCGGTTCACGAATCAATTTGATTGGCTTATCATTGAGCAATTACTTGTTATATCTTACCAGGAGATTTAGGTCTGTCTTTCTTTTTCTCTTGTGGTTGAAGTTTCAGTTGTGCTAACAATGCCAAACTGGAATGATCTTTCTCTCTAAACCCTGCATATCCTTCAAAGTATTACTCGTCTTGATAAGAATGATCAATATAAAGCTTGATTTTTTGTTGTCTGTCTTCTGAAAATAAATTGCCATCATAGAGCATGGTCTGATTGGTTCAGCGATTGGTAGATTGAAATTACTCAACTTTGAATGGGGATGATCTACCAATTGGCTGTGAACTAGCTTATCTAATTAGAATCACCCATCTTCAAATGATAATTTTTAGGAATAAATTCTTCTGTTTCACTGACAATGTAATAGGTTAATTGTTTTGAAGAGATATGCAAGGCCCTAAATAAAGATCAAGGTCTGGCTGAGCAACTTCTTCCAAACTTTATATCACCCCTTGACCTATGCTTGCTAGGTGCCTCAGCCCAATGCACAGTACAGCATTTTGAAAAGTGCCTTAAAAGTGTATATGTTCTTAACTGGGGATCTTTTTCTTTTCTCTGGAATGCTGTAGCTAATTCTTAGTCATATACTTGTCAGGTATGCGATGACTGGTCAATTGACACAGAAAAGTGATGTGTATAGCTTTGGAGTTGTTCTTCTAGAGCTTTTAACTGGGAGAAAACCTGTTGATCATACCATGCCGCGGGGACAGCAGAGTCTTGTTACCTGGGTGAGCATTTGGTTTCTCTTATATCAGTACCATTGACGAGCATTTCCTTTCCAAGTTCAACTAAATTTGAGTGCGTAAATTCTCTATGATTTAGGCAACTCCAAGATTGAGTGAAGACAAGGTTAAACAATGTGTAGATCCAAGGCTTAATGGAGAATATCCTCCAAAGGGAGTTGCCAAGGTATTTTTTCTTAAATTTCTCTTTCCTTGTATGTTCGCCTATGTATTCTTGTACATGATTGGCACGTGCACCTTGATGGGCTACGTATATGCATGGTTATAGTAGTAGCTGCTGAGAAATCTCATTTGTTCTCCACACTTTCTGGATGATGCAGTTGGCAGCTGTTGCTGCCTTGTGTGTGCAATATGAAGCAGAGTTTCGGCCCAACATGAGCATCGTTGTCAAGGCTTTGCAGCCTCTGCTGAAAGCTGCAGCACCTGCTCCAGAGACTTGAGTGAAAGGAATTCAAAGTCCTTCCGCATCGCAATATCATCTTACTGCAAAGTTTGCTCCATATTCTCTGGCACATATGAATGATCTTTTCTTTTTCCTTTTTGAGATAGATATGATGGGTATACATTATTTGATGAGTTGTTATCTGACGGGAGATTGTATTTAGAATGCGAGCGGTCCATGCCGAGCAGCTGCTAAGGCAGTCGGTGCTGGCATGACGCTCTGTTAGTTTTTCCCTTTTGTCGCAAGTTATCTTTTATGGACATATCTTCAATTCTTTTTGAAGTAAATTTTTCCGGCTGTCTCGTTAACTTCTGCATTGATTTCTTGCCTTCTGCTAATCAAAACGAGGGAAAGCCATAGTCTTGAAGGAGGAGGGCCTGCCTTACATTTAGCAGGTAAGGAGTATGGCAATTGGTTTTGAACTGAAAACGGTGAATCGACCCCTATTGACCCGAGGGCTTGAATAGCTCCATTGCCATTATTCCTAATTTCCTAGGCGTTCAAGGTGTACTTACGCGTGATGCAACAAGAAATTCCTATACCATGCATACCAAATCAATTGACTTTCCACTGGGATGATGAAAGTAAATTAAATCTCAAGTCTTTTAATAATAAGAAAAAGCTACAAAAAAATATTAAATTATGCCAATTGTGATACATTTATCTTGAATTTTTTGTTGTGACATAAAAATTCCTAAATTATGTTCATCATGACACATTTATCCCATACTTTTCTTGTAACATAAAAAACCCCGAACTTATATCTATGTCAGACATTTACCTTCTGTCAATATTTCGTTAGATGATTTTTCAACCAAAATAATGACGTTTTATTTCACTTAAGTAACATGGGTGCCATATGAACACTGTTTCTCTTTCTGGCATCTATGTTGGTAGATTTTTCAACAATTCTTATTGACAGAACTTTGATGTAGGCGAATTTTCAAGCAATTCTCATTGACAAAACTTTGGTAGAGGATAATTCAAGGGTACAAGTTTGTGATTTTTTGTGTCACAGAAAAAAAAGTTTTAGGATAAATGTGTCACGATAAGTATAGTTTAGGATTTTTAACCCTTTAATAATTAACATACATGATTCAGAGTGCAAGGTTGATGGATTTAAATAGCTCAATGATCACCTAAAATTTTCTTTTTCTGAACGGGCTCTTTTCTTTCTTTCTTTTTTTGGGAGGGAAGGGATTCATAGGTATAATTAATATGAGTACCGAACGAAAGGATTATTACAAGGCTATTGAAGCATCGAAATCAAATCATGAAAATATCGATTAATATTTTTCTTTTTTAACATGCAGAAATGCCATTGAAATTTTCTTCGGACCTATATAGTTTTTAGATCTTAAAAAAAAGAAGAAGATGAACGATAGCATATGAAGACACCTTACATTTTTCTATAAATTTGTCAAAATAATAATAACAATAATAATAATAATTTCTTCGCACCTCTAACTAATTAAATATAAATACACAAAAAAGAAATGACTCTCTTCCTCCTTTAACTGCATCTGGTGAGAATCTCCTAAAACCCCTTCCTCAACCCTCTCTTCCCCGCTCTCTCTCTACTCGACATGGCCGACTCCATCGATTCACCTCCCATGGCTTCGCTCCCTCCACCGCCTGAACTCGCCGGACGCCTCCCTTCTTCCGTCGAAGACCGCCGCGGCACTCTGGTGGGTTCCGCTTCCCCCGACGACCGCGGGTGCGGTGGAGAGCCGGCCGCTGCGTCCGGCGTTGAGGGCGCGGCCGCGAGCTCGTGCCGAGCGCGGGAATCGGGCGGCTCCGCTTTGGGTTCGCCGTCCGTGGGAGTTCCTGCGAGCGTTGCGAACGTGATGGGACCGTCGAGTTCTCCCGAGGCGCGGGAGCCTGTCTGCGTCCAAGGAGTCCTCGGGGAGGACTCTGCGGAGGAAGCCAAGAGGGGCTCCGTCCGCGAAGGTACGGGTTGTTCGTCTTCTTTGGAAACGAATGGAGATGGGGAGTTTCTTGGTAAAGGCAAGGTGTCTGCGATTCTGTTGGAAATTAAGAAGCAGCAGTTGTTGAATGATCTTGAAGGTGGGTCGATCTTCAGGGAGGTGGCCCAGCCGGAGCATGTCGCTGATGAATCCCCCGATATTGATGTGATGATAGCGGGTGCTGCTGATGGAAACATAATTTCCGGGGAGCTGGTGTATACCTGTGACGAGATGGAAGGCGACAACGGAATCGATGGTTCTCTTAGACGTTCATTGAAGATTCAAGTCATCGATGATACCGCATTGATTGAACCCGTCGCGTTCGCTGGAATTGGAAATGGGGGTGACAAGGATATGGGAATGGTGGCGAGCTCTTCAAGATGCACTGAAGGAAATTCTTGTAAAAGTGTGAAAGATGCTGCGGATGGAAAGAAGACTAAACGTCCTCGGAGGAAAGGGAAAGGTGCAAAGCGAGACAATTTAGTGCATTTTGATGAACCTATGGATGCTTGTCAAACGAAGGGAGACGGAACCGAAAGAAGGTACTCAAGGGAAGAAATGGAGGCCCTGAGGTTTGTTAATATTTCAGAACAACGAAAGTTTTGGAGAGAGATTTACAATGGCCTAGGCCCCGTGGCAAGAGAGTATGCAAATCTTGCAAGCTCAAAGCATCAGGCACAGTCTACTTTGAGCTATCATTGCCAGCGTCCGTCCCTTGGGAGGGCACAGGATCCTGGTATTCTTGGTGAGTATCATCACTGTAGTAGCTTGACCCTTGTTCTTTCTTTAGCTGTATTATAATATTATTTCTTTCGATGGAAAGAGAAGCTTGAAATTGAATTAATGATGGTAGTATTTGCTTAAGTTGGTTTACTTCATCTTGGACACACAGATTTCTCACAATGGCTTACCTGTTCAATTTTCATTATGTGATTATCATCGATCATCACACGGCATCGGAATCTGCATAAATGAAACACTTCATTTTTGCAAGGCATTATGTCTGTTTCTGTTTGGAGTATGCATCGTGCACCTTGTCCTCTGTTAATCTCCTTAAGCTGTTTCGTTGGGTTGAAATTGCAAGACACATGCTTTTGGGTTTGAGAATATTATACCATGATAAGATGCTTTATTAGTTAATTTTGATTCTCACTAGAAGAATACTCTAGGTTGGTGTTCCTCTAGAGACAATGTTGTATGATCTTGCTTTTCATGGTGTGTAAGGACCTTTTAACTATTATTTACATAAAGCAGATGAAAAACTCAGGGAAAAATATCCTTCTGATGTGCATGAAGTGAGAACCTCAGGGTTTGGTCCGATTGTGTTTCTTGAATTTGAGAGATGCAACTGAATGTACTTTCTCTGATCATGCTGTTGCATGGGGGTGGTCTTTTGAGCATGCAGTAGGTATTATTTTGACAACTCAATTTCTTCATGGTTGCTTTAGTCTGCCAGTGACAAGGCCGACTGATGTTTCTGATCATAATCTTCTTTTCCTCCCTTTTCATCCTAAGCAAATTCTGGTTTCGTTTCATTTTGCTTTTCTTTTGTGGAGACTGAGTGAATATGCTGATATTCATGACACCAACCGTTGATAACATTTATGAAGTTAATGTTTCCTTAATGATTTGCACCCTCAGTAATTATTCTTGTTTACATCCAGTAAAGGTCTATTATTGAGGGTATTCAGATTAAGCCTTATTAATTTCCTATTCTCTGGCTCTTTCTTGTCTGGTTATCTTTCTCTTGTCATAATCAGCAGAAAAAGCTCTTTTGTATCCCGTGTGATTGCTCTTCCACTCTCTGTTTGAATTCCACTGTTTGTTTTGACAAAATTCAAACTCAAACACATTTCTTAAAATAATCATTTACATAGTCATCTGCCTGATGTGTCAATTTGATGGTTCAAATTTCTGTTCTGAACAGGTGCAATTGCTGGAAGTGCAAGAGGGAATCACGTGAATTTCTTTGTTCCTGCACTAAAGACCCTATATGCAACAAATTGGTCATATGTCTCTTGATTACTTTTCTGTTGTACATTCAAAGCTACTGTTTGTGGTGGAAATGTAAAGAAATCACCACAAGCAATTCGTTTGTAAATAGAACTGATTTTCGCGACAATGAATGGATTTACATTGTTTCCTTTCTTGATGACATGTGTGGACATTGTTGCTCTTATTCTATGCAGCTTGCATTTGGATATATCCCTTGTTCTCTGTTTATGTTCCTCTTGATGCAAAGCAATTTCTTTTAAGAAAACTTGGATTTTGTCATTACTTTCAGGTGAAGCGTGTAAAAAACAGGTTGGTATTGTACTAGAGAACACAGAGGACAGTGAAACAAACTTTATGAATCTGGACCCTGCTTGCGGCCAAAATATTTGTGGGGAAGATGGTGATATTATAGAAGAAGGGGGAGAGGAAGATAGTGATGACAGTGATGAATACTTTGCTAGCATCCAAAGACCAGCCTTTTTGGTTGAGGGAGAACCCAACTTTGATGCTGGGCCTCCAGAAGATGGGTTAGAGTTTCTTAAGCGAGTCAGGTAAATGTTTCTTATTCATCTTAGACATTAAATAAGTCCAATTCTCTCAACAGTGTTTGCTAATCTTCCTTCCCACGCCCTTTCTGTTCCAATTTCAGTACTATTTAGCTATGTGAGGAGAGTGAATGACATAAACGTTAGCATGGTCGAGAGCAAAGGCATCAGGACTATGGCGGACCCAGAATTTCACCTTTTTTCTTTTTTTTTTTTGGGGGGGGAAGAGAGAGAGAGAATTTCAACTTAAGATATATAAACTTTCCTATAAATATCAGAACTGAGAGGCTGATGGTGTTGCTTCAAGACTGGATAAATTAGAGAGACATTATCAGTAAGTTGTAGAGATGTGAGACTGTGGTTTGTAGATGCTCAGTGAGCAGATGGGATTAGTAGAAGTGCCAACACGCTTAGGGTTAGAGGGCCAATGAAGACTGCATGCATAGGTGGTGACCTAGAAGAAAATTGATGTTATGAAATTTAGGAGGATATAGTAGCAATGATGTGAAAAGAGAGTGATGTAGTGCACCTGGGTTTGTTATTACAATAGTGGGCAGATTGCGAGATTGAGACATAGTTTACAGGATAAATGTATGCTAAGATATCTAGTGCGGGAAGGGGTGGTATTTCACTTGTTGAGAAAGCAACAAAAAAGGGGATTAGTGAGTTTGTTAATTTGGCATGCATTACCTTTAAATGTTCATCTACAGTCATTATGGAAATTCAGTGGCTCTTTTAGCAGCTTCTAATCGATGTGAATTTAGTCAATTAAAGTAACGGTATGGTATTTTTTTAATTATTTCCTATGATCCCAAGAGCCTGAATCTAGTCAAGAATGTAGAGTAATTTTTAACCAATCTACCTTCGACATTGAAAGTAACGGAACATGCAATAATTTGTCTAAAACAAGCTGACCCTTTTACCAGTATGTAGCGGGGACGATTGGATCATCAAGAGTGATCCTGCAATTAAGAGTGGGCAAAATTTGTATGATGTATCTGTTTTACAGTTTGAAAGTGGGTGTCGTGACCCTTGTAACGCTGGATTGATACTTGAGGACCCACCGAAGAGAGCTTACACCACTGAAATTTTGTTAGATTTTTTCTCTCACACTCGCCTTAAATTGATCCTTCTAAGCCATGTCTCTCATATTAGGACTCTTGTATTATTCTTTTTAATGATATATACTAGTTGTCGGAGGGCAAGAGATATGGTTGTGCTATGTCTCTGGATTGGAGAGGCGGATATACTTTGTTGTGTAACGCTCCTCTTTCTTCAAGCATCTGTAATGCATCAAGTTACCTCTGTTCACGGCACATTTTAGATTTTGCTAATGAGATCGAGTGATCAATTTAACTTAGAGCATGCTTGTGGCGGTCATTGTTCGGGCTGATAATAACTAATGGGTGGGTGATAAGATTCATTTTGTAGAGTGGATACTTCCTTTTCACGAGGAATGAAGTGCAGTTCCTTTCATGTTTTAATTTACTTCGCCGACATAAAAAAAGGGCCCATCTGTATTTCGTCTCATAAGATGCACCAGGCAAACATGAAACGCTCCTTTAGACTTAGCGCACAAAGTATATATCTTAAGGTTTAGTGGTAAAATTAATGTTGGGAGGAAGAAACCTAAAGCACTTGGTGACCATCTACTTTCTTTTGAGTGATACCATATTTCCATGATGGCCCTTTCTCGTTTTTTCCTATTGGTAGCTAATATGTAGTAATATAGAAAGAAGTGAAGAAACAAAAGCAAAGCAAAGTGCCCTGGATAGCTGTCTCGTATGAATACTATCATACAAATATGATGTTCCAACATTGTGTTTGAACTATAATATAGGTCTTCTCACCAGGTTATTCTTCTAGCATTGCCAAGAATTAGGGTCAGAGCAAAGAAATGGCTTTGATATGACCACTGTATGGTTGAAACCTGTCGGCTCATACGGCCCATAAATATGCATGCTGCATTCAACGGACAAGATAGCACGACTACTTCTAGGTGAGAAGGTTTACTTCCACTGATAATCAGGCATTGTGTGAAGCTGATGTTTGCAACTTTTGAAGCCAGTTTTATAAAATGATGGCAGCTTGTGCCAGTAGTCCCTGCACATTAGTCGAGCAACGCATGGATGTACACAAAACAATGACTATCTGACAACTTCTCACCCTCCTACTGAACACGAATCATAGTGGCAGCTTCCCTTTCTTTTTGCTTTCTGATGCTGTCGATCCTTCATATGGTTTTCACTGCTTACAACTTGAAAGAAGAATTATTAAAGTGTTCTTGCACTAGTCTTAGACCTTTGGCAAGGCTCTAATTATGGATGCATTGTCTTGTCTTAGGTGGGAAGCTGCACAGATTCCGAATGTGAAGGTAGCCAAGCTTGATCAGAGTAAATTCCACAAAGAACAGAGCTCTTACATGCCTGTAATACCTGAGATTGCCAAGTGTCCAGAACACTTGATGCCACTGAAACAATGGGAGGATGCTTTTCTTGCAGATTTTTCAATGTTGAGGAGGGTATGCTCTTTATATTTATGTATATATGTGTGGTGCTTGTCTTTGTTCCTAGCTAGATTACTTATCATAGATAGTTCTGTTCCTGGTGAAATGTCAGTTGAAATCTTTTGCACGCTGATAGGTGACAACTTATGGTGCCATTCCACGCTGTGTTGCTTCTTACTTCATATAACTGGAAAAAAGTGCTCATGGTTACCTTATTTTACAGGCCTTGTCAAGTGTTGAGACTACCGGTGCTGAAATTTTAGGGGAACAACGATCTTTGATTAAGGTCGCAGAGGAGTACTCTGTTCAACATCCCAAAAGTGATGCTTCTGAAAATTTCAGCGGCTGTCAAACTGCTCGGGAGGTTGATGAAGCAGTCCCTAATCCTAGTCGGAAATCTCTTGGCAGTGAAAAAAGTGAAGACCCCACTTTATCCGCGATACTTGGGATGGACTCGGTAGCTAGAGTATCCATGCTCAGGAAACGTATAAACTCGGTGGATGCCGCAAGCCTTCTTTCAAGAAACGATTGTCTGTGGCTCTTTGCTCTGTGCGCCGCTGTGGACACCCCATTGGATGCCGACACTAGTGCATCTCTCCGGAGTTTGCTCCGGAAATGTGCGAGCTTGCGAACTCAGAAGGCTGAGCTGGACGATGAAGTTATAATGCTGAATATTCTGGCCACAATTTCCGGCAGGTATTTCGGCCAGTCAGATAATTGAAGCTTTCTGCCACAACCATAGCTGTGCTCTATTTTTGAATATCAATCTCATCGATATCGTCGATCTCAGTTAAACTATTATAATTTGTTTATGTTCCTGTTTTGTATTTTCTGCTAATCTTGCTAGTCTGAGTACAATATCTCAATTACAACTAGAGGTGACAATCAATAAGTTGGGTTGGGTTTGAGTGGTTCTTAAATGGGTTCAACCTAAATCCACCCATTTAACTCATATTCACCCATTTATCTTATGAACAATTTAAATGGCCCATACCCAACATAATTCAGGTCCAATTCTAACCTACCCACATAATCCACCCGAAAAACAGAGAAAAAGGTTTTTTCTTTAAATAAATAAACAAAAAATTAAACAAATCTGCATAGTTAACTTGATAATTAGACCCCTAAAAAAATTGATACGACAGCCGATCATTGCTCATCGTGTTGTTGCTCCTCCTGTTGTTGTCGCCCGCTCCACCGATCGCTGACGTTGTGGGTCCTCCTTGCTTGTTTCTTCAATTTGCGTCTTCTGTTTGTGTTCTCGATCCTTTTGTGCGGTGTTCTTCCTCGATCAGAAGGTTCTCTATCTGGCTTCCAAAAGGTCATGTCTCGTCGCTCCTCTTTTGACTTTCTTTCGATGTCGTTTTTTCTATTGGCAATCGAAGGTGTTTTCAGATACGTGCGCGTTGATCTCGATATTACAATGTTAAAGAGTCATCGCCTTGCCAGTCTCGGTCTGGATCTGACTCGATCATCCGAGGTTATTTGGACGTCTTCTAGCTTGGTTTTTCTAGGGGTTGTTCACGTCGTCTGGATACATGGGAAAAGGCCGATTGGCTTTTTGGTTGAAATATTTTGTAGGTTAGCAACAGAAGACCATCTTGTTCTGCTTTCTTGGTCTTGAAGGAAACTTGAAGAAAGGAAATGATGAAGACGCCCCCAATCGATAAAGCAATGACCCAACTTCCTGACAAACTAGAGAAAGATGCCCAGCAGATGGATTTATTTATGGCTTTGAGTTACATTATGTAACTTCACATGTCAAAAAGTATCTTCTTCAGGAGGCCGCAGAGAAAAACGACACCACAAGAAGGCGTGGGATGAGGGATTACTAAGAGGAGGATGAAGGTGGTTGCCGACGGCGACGGCGGAAGTGTGATCGGCCATCACAGGCGACATTGCCGCAGGCGGAGGGGCACCGACAGCATCGGTTCCCCCACTTCTTCGACATCATAGTTCTCCGTTTCTTTACCTTTTTTAAAAAATATATATATACTTTTTCAGCTAATAACCTTTTTAAGCTTAAATGGGTTTATCTTTAAACCCACCAAAACCCACATCTAGTTGGGCTTTGACAATGTGAACCCACTCTAACCTGTTTTTAAATTTTCAAACAACCCATATATTACCTAGTCCATTGAATTTTAGTTAAAGAAATGGGACCTGAATTTTTGCCAGCTCTAATTACTACCCAGTTTCCTAGCAAATGGAGCAAGACCAGCCTAGGGGCATAAAATGATAGATAATAACATGCACAACACCACATAAACCAAGGGAAAAGGGGCTTCTCAATCGAATATGACAAGGCGGGTGCATTGATGAAATTATGCAGAAGTAGAAGGAAATTCTCTTTTATTTAAATAAGGGATAAGTGCATTCAAAGTCTTAAAACTTATCACGAAAGTACAATTAAGTCCTAAAACTTTCAAAAAGTGCAAACAAGTCCTAAAACTTACCACGAAAGTGCACTTGAGTCCTAAAACTTTAAAAAAGTGCAAACAAGTCTTAAAATTTGTCACAAAAGTGCAAACAAGTCCTAAAACTTATCAAATTGGTTCAATCAAGTCCTTTCATTGATTATACTTTTTGAAAGTTTTAAAACTTATTTGTATTTTTCTGACAAGTTTTAGGACTTGTTTGCACTTTTAAGACAAGTTTTATGACTTATTTGCACTTTTTGAAAGTTTTAGGACTCAAGTTCACTTTTGTAACAAGTTTTAGGACTTGTTTACACTTTTTAAAAGCTTTAGGACTTAAATGCACTTTTGTGATAAGTTTTAAGATTTCTAGTGTACATATCCCTTTAAACAAAGCACCTCGCTTCCATATACACAAACCACACACGCCGAGAGAGAGAGAGAGAGAGAGAATCAACTTGAAATGAAAATTTACTGTTCGACAGAAAGGGGAAAAACCGAGCAAAGCTATATTTTTTTGGTATATGGACAGTGCTATGCAAGGTTAGATTACATCTTTTTGCAACAAATCAAAATCTAATTGTTCACTTATAATCTGGGAAAAGAAGCCCAAGGGATGCAGTCGAGGATGGTCAATCATCACCACCAAACGAAGGAAAGAGACACTACAGATCCCGCTACATCACGTAAAATTTCCTTCTTCCTCATTCATATAACACGAGTCATGACACCTTCTATCAATTGCCATTTCCAACGAGAGAGAGGCAGAAAAAATTTGTCTCCATAAATCCATATGTTACATGGGGGCTTAAAGCAGACACAAAAACCAGAGGTATTGCCCGCTCTGCAAGTTCAGAACTATACGGGCACACGTCTCCCTCGGTAACGATCAAAGAACTGCAAAAACCAAACAGAACAGCATGTGAATGGGATGTTATATAATGTACCACATGACCATATATCTGAGATATTTTTATTACGCAATGGTAATTATGAATGCTCATTAAGTAAAACAACAGGCACTTTTCCCTTAGCCCCCAAATTCAACTGGATAAACAAGAATATCATTACCCTTTCGCCATCCACTTTCAAAAAATCTTATCTGCGGCATTTTCTGTTCAATCAACAAGATCTGCCATGTGCAATTTCAAACGCATGTTGCCAAACGAAAAGAAGCCATGAAAAAAATGATGATAGCGTTCCACTTGAACATAAATCATGAAACTGACTAGTGGAAAGCAGCCAAATTTGGCAATGCAAACCACTTTGCCAGTGCAGGAGGTTACATGGAATTATACTATTCCTCTCGTATACCAAATGCTACGTAATAAATCGCATGTTTTAAGTGCTTTTAACTAGTCACCTTCTTTTATGTCCACAAAAAAAAAAGCTTATGTATCGTTGTTCCATCAAATCTAACGATATAGCTCACATATCATAGCTCAATCTATATTCTGAAGTTGGAGCTAAACATTTAAATGGTCGCAGCTGTTCAAATAGAGAGAGTCCACACAGCTGGGCATCATTTACCATGATGAGACCCACCATTCACTCAACTAAGCTTTCTAAAGAGACTATCATGATCAATTATTCCTCATAGTAGATTGAAAGTAGCTTTATCATTACATTTCTGGATGAACAGAACTCTATGATAGCATCATGCCAAGGTTGCTTCACATTTTAAACTTTCAGACCCTGTCCAGAATAACACGAACCGAGTTGGACAACCACCTATGTCCACAAATAAATCCTAGCATTTCCAAAGGACAAAAGTGATGATAAATGGAGTTGTGCACATATTCAAATTTAATTTTCACAAAATACACAATTGAATGTATGACACCAACACGAAAACAACTTTTTAGCAAGCCATATGTTGAAGATTTTGAGGACTGATAAATGTCATTATAGTTCATCATCCTCTGTTCATTTTTCACATTCACCAAAGAACCAAAAATGCCATGCCCCAATGTTTATAATAACAAAGCATAACCACCAAAAGCGCTGCTTGCAATATAGGACCCAAAAAAAACTGAGAAAACAGATAGCCATACCGATCTAATGTATGGCTGCTGAATTAACCAACCGAGGATAGGTATCCTTTGCAGAAAAACTGCTAGAGTCGGCCAGAAACCACTGCAGACAGAGAGCTAGCTTAATTTAAGTTAAACAGACAACAATTTTGAGACTGCCAACAAATGAAAGGAGCAGACCTGAAAAGAACGACAAAACCATATGATTCCACAATCATGCCAAGAATGGGCCATCCTATAATAACGAAGAAGAAGCCAACACCAAACGAGATTGTTCCCTGGACATCAAGAAAGATAGAAAGTGTCAAAAGGAAGATTACAGTACAGGAGGACAGCTTTATATGCCAAGAGTTTCTATGAAGAGTTGGGGAAGACTTGAACCTTGAAGTTTTGCCTTTTCATAAAGAACTGCATGGTCGACTTCGGTCCTATAGTCAAAGAGACTCCTGATATGAAGAGAATCTGATTGAGAGGGAAAAGGGCCAGTTAAATGGAAACCCTACCAAAACTAGGACAACAAGAACACAACGAAAGACAGTGCCACACTACAGAAACCAGGGAAAGAAACTCACATTTCCCATGGCAAGCAGTCCCTTGTCAAAAAAGAAGACGATCCCCAGAAATGAGAAGAAGATACCAAATCCAGTCAAGCCTAGCCCGATTTCTGATCACAACGAAGAAGTTTGAATGACACTGGTGATCAAAGGCACAAATACTAACTGTAAAAGAAAATTTGAGTCTCATGCAAAGAGCAATGCATGTCAAGAGTAACACCTATTAGGTACCAAAACAGCAACTTTGTCTAGTAATTAGTCAGTTACAGTCATAGAGTCGTAGACAATTTGAAGAACTGAAAATGGTAGAAAATCTGAAGGAGGGGGCAGAGGAGATCAGACCATTTCCCAGCGCATCATCAACTGAATTTCCAGATGACACTTGTTCCCTTTTTACTTTTTGTGGACTGAAGAAATTTGAGATTAGACATAAAAGGTTCGAATATGATTACCACGGTTTGCTAAATCAACCAGAAACCTACAGAATCCCTCCCAACTCATAATTCATAAGCTAACATGGACTAGACATTCAAATCCATCAAAATAACATAGATTAGTCCTTTATTTAATAATTAAGTTCAAAACTGAAGCAAGGCTAAATGGAGCAGTTGCATCACATTGCACTAGAGATACAAATACAGCATATAGCATAACTACATCCCACAAACACTCAAAACAGATCCAGTTTAAACATAGAGTCCCACATGACTTCATTTGACATTTATTTCTGCCAAAAAAAGCGAGAAAAACTAGGAGAGGACCCATTTCAATCGGAGTTTGAGCCGCCAATTACAAGCACAATGACGAATGTCACCTAACAGAATCCTATCCCGCAGATATTATCACACAAGAGTAAAAACAAACTTCAGAAGCGACGTTCCCAATAGTAATAGTCTGCATGCACATTCACCTAAATCTTTGATCTGATTTACCAAATAGTCCCAATTCTCATTTGTCGTGCCAATCAACTCAACAAACATCATACTAGACGGATATAAATGGCTGAATAGAAGGAAGAGCAGCAAAAGGAGAGAGATCTCACGGACTTTTGCGGTCATTCATCTCGAACGAAACCATCGCGACAGCTACCGGCGGCGCTCCACTGCCCAAACAACGAGCTGGAATCGACAGTAGAAACCGGCGAAAGAGGAACCGTCAGATAAGAGCGACGGAAGCAACTCGAAAGCGGTGCTTGAAATGAGGAGCGAGAACAAGTACCTCGGTGAATCCAAAGCAGACGCAACCGATCGGAACGGAGATCGCCGCAACGAACCTGCGCAGAAAGTGATGAATGGAACCGAGCAGAAACCAATCAAATACGAGCTAAAAACAGGTTAACCGAATCGAATCGAATCGAACGCAATGTTCCGGTGGGAAAGCCGAGCGGGAAAGCCCTAGCTTGAGCTCGGTGTGGTCCTTCTCGGCATCCGAGACAGAGGAACGAGACGTGGATCTGGGAGCAGAAAGGAAGAAAGAGAGAGGAGCTCACCTTTCACTGGCACGCAGAAGCAGAAGCAGAAGAAGAGGAAGAAGCAGAAGAAGAAGAGGAGGAGGAGGAGGAGATCGGTGAAGAAGACGAAGGAAAATGGAGATGAGGGAGAGATTCGTAACTAACGGTTTTTTATACTTTATTATTTCTTTTATGATGTCACCGGACGAATGAGAAAATTATCCAATGTCCCGTTTCTTCTTCTTCTCCTTCTTCTCTTTCTTTTTAAGTTTTGTCTTCGTGAGTTATTATTGAAAAAGAATTCATATTATCTAAAAATTCATTGAGATACATTTTCATTTTTTGTCCAACGAGCTGTACTTTCAAAATAATTTAAAGTCCTCTATTTATTAGAGATCTCAAATGTAACCTTCTTTAAATTGCTAGTTTGTTTGATTTTTTCCGTTGTGCTCATTTTTCGTTTTTAAGTTTCTCCAATTGCTGAAGCTGCATAAAGTGTAAATAAGTCGACTTCAAAAAATATATATATATATATATTTTATCATTCGATAATATTTAATTCAAATGAAATTTAGCAATCCTACTTTTCACAAAAGCCGAATGGGTTATGACGACCGCACAAAACACGTTTTTCCAACCATCACAGCATGTCTCTCTACTTTAAAACTGCCAACTGATGATCACGTGGCAGCGGAATTTTCCAAGCCCAGGACTTTCATGGACAATTCCCCTCTTTGAACATCAAGCAAAACCTACTTATTCACAGTTCAGGAATGGCTTCTGCAATAACACAGTCCCACGATTCCAACTTCAAAAAGGCTCCCCATCGGCAGTCCTTGGCCACGGTCAGCTGCGATGTGCCCATCCATACAAAGCATAGACCACAAAACAGCCCCCACCTGCAGAAAAACAAATGAACAACCGTGCTGGCTTTCCACGATCATGACTAAGAAGGCTAGATTGCCCTATCCAGAACACATGGCCAAGTGCACTCGTCCGAAATGGGTGTTGCGGGAGTGAACATTGGGATATTACCAGAAAGAACCCAGGGATCAGCTGACTTGTGATGAAAGGAATAGCATACAAGTATTGCCACAAAGAGGTAAAGGGGAAACAAGAGATTGAACAGCAGGTGGAACTATACCAACCACTTCCCAGTGACTTCTATAGTTTAAATAGATGTTTATTGAGGACCCATCGATACAGTGCCACGGTGTTTTTCTGACAAGAATGGTATGAAAAGAATACAACGTACAGTTGCTCTTGTACTCATCAAAAGCAAACTTATTGTTTTCTTTTTTACCTAGTTCTATGAAAGGCTTCTTTCATAATGGTCACCAGCACCATCATCAAGAGAAAGTTCCTACAAGAACAAAATTAAAAAAATCATTAAAAAGATTGCACCCCATAAATTTAACTTGCCTAAGAGCCAAATAAATCCAATCAGAGAAACTTCATAATGATTTTAGTCAAGAGACCATACCAAACCCAACGCTTCTGCCAGACTTTTAGGTCGCTCTTCTCCACAAACACCAACAAGCATGTTCAGTAGATACTCCCTCTGTTCCGGCTTTAATTGTTTTTCGAGGCCCAGAGCCACCATTTCCATCTCAGGCTACAAAAATAGAGGGATAAGAATTATAAATAAGACAGATAACATAGATAGTCATGCAATTAAATAAATAAAAAAAGGCCATCTTTTAGGAGCAAAAACTGCATCTACTAACAGCTAATAAACTGGACCTGCATAAAGCATGTATCTATGCTAATTTGAAGTCAAACAGTTGAAACAAGCAAAGATACTTTGGTCACATCTGTATGTATAATAACTCTGAAGATGAATCAAAGCTCGCGGAATAGATAAAGTTTCTGACAGGGAACATACAGAAAAATCTCTTGGAGGGAATATTTGGTGAAGAACACAAATACTTGACAGGTGAGCTAGTGCTTCAGAATGTTCACCTTGCATTTCCAATGCCTGCAATAAAATGTGCAAGTTGTTTATGACGAAATCATGAGGCAGCAGAATATGGATGTTGCCTTAGATGGCTTCAACTCTTCAAAAATATAAATTCCCCATAAATGATCCACCCTGTGGGTCACTGGTTCTATAATTCATTCTTTGTCTACGGTTTTACTGAAAAGTTTCCAAAATAATAGTTTTCATCTTCACGTTTCTTTTTTCCTAAACAGTATGCTTGGTACCGATGACAATTCACACAATCCACATACTTCCATGCACTTTATTTTAATTCAGATTCAAAACCTAAAAGGCAAGAAAAGTAGTTCACATAATTTCATTTTTCCTCTTATTCCGGCTTGAGCATGGTGAAATCAGCCCTCTCTTGTTCTCTAATATTCAAGGAAACTGTTCTTAGCTTTCAAAATATTCGAAAACAGGGTGGGCTACCAAACATGTTCCCAAACCAGTTCTTTTACTTCCATGGAAAATGACAACTTAAAACTGAAATGTTTCCAATAACCAAATAGCACTGATGTTCCAAAGTTCAATCCCAGGATTAATCTAAAGTTCATTGCTCTTACTTTTGCTACAAGAAGGATTGTTACTGAAGAAATTATGCAACCAATTTCTCCCGCATCTCTTAATCGGTTTTCCACCATACCAGCTAATACAAGAAGGATTAATCTAAAGTTCATTGCTCTTATTTTTGCTACAAGAAGGATTGTTACTAAAGATATTATGCAACCAATTTCTCCCACATCTATTAATTAGTTTTCCACCATATCAGCTAATACAAAGAAACAATGTGCCTCTCCATTTAGGAATTCACGACCTGATTATTGAAAAATAATTGAAAGATCGTGTCTTTTGTAAGTATTTTATGGGTTGAGCAATATCATAAACCACCTTTCGAGATATCAATCGTGTTATACAACTTTCATTGCTTCTCTTAATTCCTTGCGCATGTTGTCACAAAGCCTGATAACGAGAAAGTTATGACACACATTTAGGTAGTAGAAAGTCTTTCTTTCTTCTTAAGCATAACTAAGTTCCCAAATTCTCAAAAGCCACAACGGCTCAAGAGTGCTGCTTTACATGCTTAGGATGTGACTAGATACCAACAGGAGAAATATTTACCCAAGCTTGTAGAAAACCAGATCGTGTACGTGCAGCAACAGTGGCAGACACAATTCTTGCTGCACGAATATTCTCAAGCCCTATGTTCCCAGCAAGCCCAACAAGGAATTGCCTAGGATCTTCCCCATCTATCTCTAAAGAGATGGATTGACCTGAAGAACTATAAATTTCTTAGAAAATTGTAACTTCAAAAGATTAAAAGAGATGGCCAAGAACAACTAGATAGAGGGTGCGGTCTAAAAGTACATACTGATTGCACATATTCAGAACAAAGTCAACAGACACACGATAAAATGAATCCCGAGTGTTTTCTGTGCCAAAGGAGACTCTGATTCCAGAAGTCCTGCATATGCGACGCAACTGCTCATCCATACAGGCAAAGAGAAGCCCAGAATGTCATTAATGGATCACCTAATAAACAACTGGTGCTGAGGAAAAACCATTATGCAACAAATAGAGAAAACTCCAATTATAAAAAACCCAAGGTGTGTAATTTGGTCATAGTATGGAGAAACTGAGACGACATGGGAGGATGACAAATGAATCAGCAATCTCTTCCTTGAACTGGCATAATTGCACTAAATTAAGGGCATTCAATTAACCTTAGACAGCATACAACTTGCAGACGATGTGCACAAGTCAGGATAGGTTTTTGGAACAAAAAACAAAAAATGCAAAATTTCCTCAGTTCTTGGAAACAGAGCATGAATATAGTTGTCCTGAAGAGAAGTGATTTTCCCTTGGTTATTTTAATTAATATGCTGCAAATTTTCAAATACCATGTTTAGAAATAATTGTGCATAATCAAATAATTCAGTGCGAACCTTCTTATTCATAAAATTCTTCATTTTGACTGATGAAACTTACTAATAAAAGAGCAGCAGGAATTACAAACCCATGGGAATTATAAATATGTCAGCAAAATGCTTCATGACAAATATTTAACAAGTCATAAGAGGACTAACTTGAACTATGTCAGCGACCATGATGTCCTTTCCACGCAATCTATTGTCGACAATTTCTGCATAACAATTTTTGTAAGTTGCCTTGAAGATATAATTGAAGGCAATTGTAATTGAGAACATACAGGCAATAAATGTTTCCCATTCACATGCAGAGAACCAGTCAAATAATGTTAAACTCTGGGAAGAAAAAATTGCCATCAAAGGCCAGATGTAACCAAAATAGCAGAAGACTCGAGGAAATTAGAAGACTCAGCAGCTGCAATAAGTACGACAAGAATCTAAGCATGAAGATACAGAGGCATATCCTTCTATATGACCAGAAAGGCCTATAACTGACGCCAGCATGCACCAACAGTACCTCTGAGTGCAAATTCCCCAAATCATTGGCCAGCTCGGATTCCCCATCATGTTTAGTCAAGCAGTGCACAATGAAAGAAGAGTAAACAACGCATACCGTCTATTTAACACCAGAGCTAAGATAATGAAGGCCAGACCGTTAGCTTGTATTGAGCAATGCAGAGCATCCTAGAAGACCGAAGTTAGTGCCTGCTAAAGTCTGACTAAGGTAAAAGGAAGGGGGCTAAAACTGACGCGAGCATGCACCAGCAGTACCTCTGAGTGCAAATTCCCCAAATCATTGGCCAGCTCGCATTCCCCATCATATTAAGTCAAGCAAAGCACAATGACAGAAGAATAAATAACGCATAGCGTTATTTGATCACCAGAGATAAGATATTGAAGGCCAGACCGTTAGCTTGTATTGAGCAATGCAGAGCATCCAAGAAGACCGAAGTCAGTGCCTGCTAAAGTCTGAATAAGGAAAAGGAAGGGGACTAAAACAAATTTCTTCTGCATTGTAAATTCCATTTCTTTATTGGGTTAATGTTAGCGACGGATTCCCAAACTCTTTATCTGAGCAGTCTGGTTCTCTATGCCCTATTCATATCAACCCATAATTCTAGAGCTGAGCACCCAATTCCATGCAGTCAAACGTTGATAACAGGCACAAATAAAAGTTTAGTACGGTGCAGTGTCTCCAACAGACTAGCAAGGAAACAACAATCAATTATTCTAAATGTCAAGACAGCAACAAGCACAGACC